GCAAACAATTAAGACCCTAAAGACACACAGACAAGCCAGCCCTGATGGCTTTACAGCCCTCTTTTACAAAATGTTTTGTGCCATAGTAGCCCATATTCTGACCAAGGTTTTTCAATCAGCTTAAAAATGAGGACCAGTTCACCTCAGAGATGTTAGAAGCCCACATAATAATGATCCCTAAGCCAGGCAAAGATCCCCATTCCTGGTCAAAGTACCACCCCATCTCATTACTGAAAGTAGACCTCGAAATCTTGACAAAAACCTTGGCCACCAGAATGAGCTAATTCCAACCCTAATTGAGAAAGGCCAAGTGGATTTTGTACCCAGATGACAAGCTTCAGACAACATACGATGCTCTATCCTACTCAGTCACTATGCACGAAGGAAGCGTTCCCGTGAACTTATGTTTCTGTCCTTAGATATGACCAAAGCATTTGACACACACATTTACATATAACATTACAAATATGGGGTTTGGGGGGGATATTTACAAGCTGCATAGTAACCCCTCAGCAAAAGTCTGGTTACACCAGGTCGAATCCTCCTTATTTTTAATACGAGGGGGAACCCAACAAGGTTGCCCCCTATCCTTTTCATCATGGCTCTGAAACCCTTGGCAGTTTGCATACAACTCTATCCTGACATCAAGGGTCAAGATATAGCAGTGATCCATCACAAAGCTGCAATCTTCACAGACAACATTCTGCTGTCTCACTTTTCTACATATAGTATCTCCCTTCTTAATTTAATGGCGCTCCTTGCACATTTTGAAAACCTCTTAGGCTTACATGTCAACCCTAGCTAATCAGTGGCAATGAACATTTCTCTTCCCCTGTCAATCTTCAAACTCATTTCCCATTTCAGTGGACAACTATGTTTTCTTACCTTGGCATCACTTACAACAACCTACAACTCACTCTACCAAGCCAATATTCCACCCCTTCCCCAACATCTGTTTAAATGAATATCATCATGGCATAACCATGTCATTATCTTGGTTTGGTCAAACATGTGCAATCAAAATGTCCTATCTACCTAAACTACTCTACTACCTTTTCCAGATACTTCTTATTCGTATCCCATCTCATATTCCGTGACTATTACAGCATCAAAATCTGAAATTTGCATAGGCCTCGGTGGGGCGTCCACATTTTCCCCGATATCTTCTACTTTACCGTCCACGAATTGAGGCGGCCTTGGAATCCCTAACGTCCACCATTATTACACCAGAAGCTCCAGATCACGACACTTATCAAACTTTTTTCAGGTAAAGACTTACCCTTGTAAGCCCTGCTTAATATTTTTGACACACACCCCACACCATCTTCTTCTCTACTCTGGCTTCCTCCCATCTTCTAGACCTAAGCCATTAAAATCCAATTTTGACATACTCTTTACAGGTCTGGTACTCTTGCAAATTACTGTGCAGGCTTACTGTCTCCTCATTTACCTCTTCTCCAACTATTTGACTACCCAATATTTTTCCCGGGAGAGAGTCAGAAAAAGAGGACCTTTCATTGGTGGATAACACATTGCTTTCTTTTTTCATGGCAACAAAGCAAACTATAGCATATTCTTGGAAGTTCTCTTCTCTCCAATTTGAGGACGTTAAATCTAGAATTCAAGGCTTCTTATCATTGCAACAACTAACGGCGGTATTAGAAGACAGACACAACATTGTTCCTTTTGATCTGGCAACCTTGGTTAGACTACCAACCAATCTCCCATTTCACTACACGGCTAACCCATCTTTAATCATAGCAATGCTCTCTTCCACCCCTTCCCAGATCTGGCACTCCTCAGTGTGTGACTCTTTCTACCTGCTTTCCTGATTTTTACTTCTCTCCTTCTCACCCCTTTCCTTTTTCTATTTCTATCCAAATTCGTCCCTTTTAGAGATGAGCGAATAATTCGAACCAGGCGAAGTGGAATTCGTTTCGAAATATCAGGAAAAATTCGATTCGCATCAATCCGAAATTTTAGCCAACTTCGGGTGTGCAAAGCGAATTCAAATTTTTTCCCGATCATCGGCCGCAAAAGTGTCACTGCAGAGAGCTCCCCGCTATTTCTGACAGTTTTCTGACAGTTCATTTACAGCGGTTATAGAACATAGTATCTAATTTGTTTCCATTTAGGATACAGATGTTTTTTATTCGGAAATAAATAGATACAATGTTTCAACCGCTGTAAATGTGAAGGACTGTCAGAGAACTGTCAGAAATAGCGGAGCTCTCTGCAGATACACTTTTTGCTGTACTGGAATACTTCTTCTTTTCATTTTCATTCTTCTTCTTTGCATCTCTTCTTCTTCTTCTTCTTCTTTTCATTCTTCTTTTCATTCTTCTTCTTCTTTTCATTCTTCTTCTTCTTCTTCTTTTCATTCTTCTTCTTCTTTTCATTCTTCTTCTTCTTTTCATTCTTCTTCTTCTTCTTCTTCATTTCATTCTTCTTCTTCTTCTTTTCATTCTTCTTCTTCTTCTTTTCATTCTTCTTCTTCTTCTTTTCATTCTTCCGTCTTCTTTTCATTCTTCTTCTTCTTCTTTTCATTCCTCTTCTTCTTTTCATTCTTCTTCTTCTTCTTTTCATTCTTCTTCTTCTTTTCATTGCTTCCTCTTCTTCTTTTTCATTCTTCTTCTTCTTTGCTTTTCATTCTCTCTTCTTCTTCTTTTTCATTTCCAACATTCTTTTCATTCTTCTTCTTCTTCTTTTCATTCTTCTTCTTTTCATTCTTCTTTTCATTCTTCTTCTTCTTCTTTTCATTCTTCTTCTTCTTCTTTTCATTCTTCTTTCATTCTTGCTTCTTCCATTCTTCTTCTTCTTCTTTTCATTCTTCTTCTTCTTCTTTTCATTCTTCTTTTCATTCTTCTCTTCTTTCTTTTCATTCTTCTTCTTCTTTTCATTCTTCTTTTCATTCTTCTTCTTCTTCGTTCTTTTCACTTCTTTTCATTCTTCTTTCTTCTTTCTTTTTCATTCTTCTTTTCATTCTTCTTCTTCTTCTTCTTTTCATTCTTCTTACTTCTTCTTTTCATTCTTCTTTTCATTCTTCTTCTTCTTCTTTTCTTTTCTTCTTTTCAATCTTCTTCTTCTTTTCAATCTTCTTCTTCTCTTCATTCTTCTTCTTCTTCTTTTCATTCTTCTTCTTCTTCTTCTTTTCATTCTTCTTCTTCTTCTTTTCATTCTTCTTTTCATTCTTCTTCTTCTTTTCATTCTTCTTCTTCGTTCTTCTTTTCATTCTTCTTTTTCATTCTTCTTCTTCTTTTCATTCTTCTTCTTCTTCTTTTCATTCTTCTTCTTCTTTTCATTCTTCTTCTTCTTCTTTTTTCATTCTTCTTTTCATTCTTCTTCTTCTTCTTTTCATTCTTCTTCTTCTTCTTCTTTTCATTCTTCTTTTCATTCTTTCTTCTTCTTTTCATTCTTCTCTTTTCATTCTTCTTCTTCTTCTTTTTCATTCATTCTTCTTCTTCTTCTCTTCAATCTTCTTCTTCTTCTTTTTCATTCTTTCTTCTTCTTCTTTTCATTCTTCTTCTTCTTTTCATTCTTCTCTTCGTCTTTTTTCATTCTTCTTCTTCTTCTTCTTTTCATTCTTCTTTTCATTCTTCTATCTTTTCTTTTCATTCTTCTGTCTTCTTTTCATTCTTCTTTTCATTCTTCTTCTTCTTCTTTTCATTCTTCTTCTTTTCATTCTTCTTTTCATTCTTCTTCTTCTTCTTTTCATTCGTCTTCTTTTCATTCGTCTTCTTCTTCTTTTCATTCTTCTTTTCATTCTTCTTCTTCTTCTTTTCATTCTTTCTTCTTCTTTTCATTCTTCTTTTCATTCTTCTTCTTCTTTTCATTCTTCTTTCTTCTTTTCATTCTTCTTTTCAATCTTCTTCTTCTTTTTCATTCTTCTTCTTCTTCTTTTCTTCTTTCTTCTTCTTCTTTTCATTCTTCTCCTTTTCATTCTTCTTTCATTCTTCTTCTTCTTCTTTTCATTCTTCTTCTTCTTTTCAATTCTTCTTCTTCTTCTTTTCATTCTTCTTCTTCTTTTCATTCTTCTTCTTCTTCTTTTCATTCTTCTTTTTTCATTCTCTTTTCTTCTTTTCATTCTTCTTTTCATTCTTCTTCTTCTTCTTTTCATTCTTCTTCTTTCTTCTTTTCATTCTTCTTTTCATTCTTCTTCTTCTTCTTCTTCTTTTCATTCTTCTTCTTCTTTTCATTCTTCTTCTTCTTTTCATTCTTCTTTTTCTTCTTCTTTTCATTCTTCTTTTCATTCTTCTTCTTCTTCTTCTTTTTCATTCTTCTTCTTCTTCTTTTCACATTCTTCTTCTTCTTCTTTTTCATTCTTCTTTTCATTCTTCTTCTTCCGTTCTTTTCATTCTTCTTCTTCTTCTTCTTCTTCTTCTTTTCATTCTTCTTTTCATTCGTCTTCTTCATTCTTCTTCTTCTTCTTTTCATTCTTTTCATTCATTCTTCTTCTTCTTCTTTTCATTCTTCTTCTTTTCATTCTTCTTCTTCTTCTTTTCATTCTTCTTCTTCTCCATTCTTCTTCTTTTCATTCTTCTTTTCATTCTTCTTCTTCTTCTTTTCATTCTTCTTTTCATTCTTCTCTCTTCTTCTTTTCTTCTTCTTCTTCTTCTTCTGGCAACTCCACCACGCAGCTCATTTTTGTTCCAGTATTACTGTATATTTTGCTCCTTCAAAATCCTGAAACTTTCTTTTGGCAGGTGTACAGACTCAGGTACTCAGTGCAGGAATGGTGGGAATCCCTCACAATGGACACAGCAGGTGTACATACAGACCCAGGAATTCAGCACAGGGATGGTGGGAACCCCTCATAATGGGCACAGCAGGTGTGCATACCCAGAACCTCAGCACAGGGATGGTGGGAACCCCTAGTAATGGGCGCAGCAGGTGTGCAGACCTGGGACCTCAGCACAGGGATGGTAGAAAACCCCTCATAATGGGAACAGCAGGTGTACAGACCCAGGAATTTAGCACAGGGATGGTGGAAACTCCTCCTAATGGGCAGAGCAGGTGTACAGACCCAGGAACTCAGCACAGGGATGGTGGGAACTTTCATAATGGGCGCAGCAGGTGTGCAGACCTGGAACCTCAGCACAGGGATGGTGGGAACCCCTCATAATGGGCACAGCAGGTGTGCATACCCAGAACCTCAGCACAGGGATGGTGGGAACCCCTAGTAATGGGCTCAGCAGGTGTGCAGACCTGGGACCTCAGCACAGGGATGGTAGAAACCCCTCATAATGGGACAGCAGGTGTACAGACCCAGGAATTTAGCACAGGGATGGTGGGAACTCCTCCTAATGGGCAGAGCAGGTGTACAGACCGAGGAACTCAGCACAGGGATGGTGGGAACTTCTCATAATGGGCGCAGCAGGTGTGCAGACCTGGAACCTCAGCACAGGGATGGTGGGAACCCCTCATAATGGGCACAGCAGGTGTGCATACCCAGAACCTCAGCACAGGGATGGTGGGAACCCCTCTCATAATGGGCACACTCAGCAGGATGTTAGGGGGTTTAACTCTCCAGCATCCATTAGAGACTGATATAGTAATATAGTTAATTCTTCTTTTCATTCTTCTTTTTCATTCTTCTTCTTCTTCTTTTCATAATGGGACGGCAGCAGGTTCTTTTCAAGCACAGGGATCTTTTCATTCTTCTTCTTCTTCTTTCATTCTTCTTCTTTCTTCTTTTCATTCTTCTTTTCATTCTTCTTCTTCTTCTTTTCATTCTTCTTTTCTTCTTCTTTTCATTCATTCTTCTTTTCATTCTTCTTTTCATTCTTCTTTTCATTCTTCTTCTTCTCATTCTTCTTTTCATTCTTCTCTCTTCTTCTTCTCATTCTTCTTCTTCATTCTTCTTTTCATTTCTTCTTCTTCATTCTTCTTTTCATTTCTTCTTTTCTTCTTTTCATTCTTCTTCTTTTCTTTTCTTCTTCTCATTCTTCTTTCTCATTCTTCTTCATTCTTCTTTTCATTCTTCTTTCTTCATTTTCTTTTCATTTTCTTCTTCTTCTTTTCATTCTTCTTTTCATTCTTCTTCTTCTTTTCATTCTTCTTCATTCTTCTTTTCATTCTTCTTTTCTTCTTCTTCTTTTCATTCTTCTTCTCATTCTTCTTTTCATTCTTCTTTTTTCATTCTTCTTCTTCTTCTTTTTTCATTTTCTTCTTTTCATTCTTCTTTTTCATTCTTCTTCTTCTTCTTCTTTTCATTCTTCTTCTTCTTCTGTTCATTCTTCTTCTTCTTCTTTTCATTCTTCTTTTCTTCTTCTTCGTCGTGCCCCGTGACTGCCCAAATGAGTGAAGTGTGCGGTGATTCTAAGATCGACGGCACTCATCTGCATGTCATACTGACTGACAGTATTATTTCTCTTCCCCAGCAGACTCCAAGGGCATTTAAATTAAAGGTACATTGTTCTGCACTAATATAAAGGCTCTCTGAAGCCTAGAAACCCTTTAAATAAGTTAAATTCGCGGCGAATAAATTTGCATCGAATCAAATTTCTCCCGCAAATTCGGCGAATCAGCCGAATCGAATTTTTGAATAATTCGCTCATCTCTAGTCCCTTTACCTTATATGATTGTGGGATTTTTCCCTCTCCCGCTCTATCTTCCCACCACCTCAGTGGTCGGCTTGACATCATTCCACTTATTTTTTGGGGTATGGATGTCCCCTGCTAAGACCCTTGTGGTCAGTGCTCTTAGCCACCAAGGGGTGTGTTCTTCTATTCCCCCTATTTTTTTTTTTTTTTTTTCCTTAAATACAGAGATTTTTATTTTCCTTTTAAGGGTATTATCCAATCATATATGTTGATTGTTATCTCTATGATTATATGAACCTTCCGTAGGTACTTGTTGAAGACTATCTGACTTATCAAAAACTCTGGTCATGTGACCACCATGTTCTAATATACAGTTTAAAAAAAAAAAAATCTAATGCTATTGTCTGTTAAGTAGACCCTCATTATTGATGCCATGCAACTGGATACTTTTTCATTGACCAATGTATGTCATATATAGTATCTCTCAAGATCCTATGTCTTGTCAATCCTTTAAATAAAGCTCTTTTGGTACCAGAAATCACTGTTAATTGTCACTCACTACTTCAATTCCAACACACATTAAAAAAATACTGATGTGTATAAGGTGGGGCAAGCACATTTTTCATGTGCCATTATTGGCCATATGCTGTCAGCTGACCACAGATCACAAGTACGACATTGAACTGTGGAGGCTTCATTTTGATGTTCAGGTGAATTAATCCATAAGTTTGGTGTTTGGGTAAACTGCAAATGTCCACAATTCGAACCCAACTTAATGTCAAACCTGAACCTCATCCCTAGTGAACACACAAACGTCTTTGATAGTTGACTACACCATGATAAAAATATTCTTATTTGTACATAGAGACTGAGTGATGCATTGTACATTCGTTTATGTGGATCACACACTCTATTGGTGTACAATATTTTTTCTCATGAGTTATTTAACCACTTGCCCTTCAGAGGATTTACCCCCCTTCATGACCAGGCCATTTCTTGCGTTACGGCGCTGCATTACTGTAGCCTCCCTAGCGGTCTCATTATGTCCATATTTCTGTGCTCAAAGCGGTACATTTTTTTTTGCATGGAAATATGTATTTTTTGTTTTTATCGTAGGCCTGTAATTTTTAGGAATAACTCACTGAAAACTGTCCGAACAAGACTCTAGTAAACATCCCGGGTATGTTAAAATTTGAAACACGAAATCATAAATTATAATTTAATAAATAATCATCATATAATAATAAATTTAATTAAATAATCTAATCAAACAAAAAACACTGAAATTTGCAATATAGCGCCAAGTTCGCACATCACTGAGCAAAGTCGCAAAATCGTTTTCAGTGTCTGACGAATTTCCCCACAAATCATTATCACTCAGTTCTGCAAGTGGTTCAATTTATTATTGCTGTTCTCTAGGTGATCTAAAACCGCTTTTGACCTAAAGGGACACTTTTTGGACACCATGGATGTTTCTCAGTTTCCAGGCAGAAAGAACAGTAAGAATGCAGGCAGGGCACAGGACAAAGCACTAAGGACAAAATGTATGTGAAATGGTTTGATACAGTAATGTTATACTATGTTATATTAATGTATTTAGTGAATGTCACTTTTTGACATTTTTAAATTTCCCGCCAGTTCCGTCCCCGTACGTCCTGACGTCGCAGGGAACGGAACCCAGAAGACAGATGCCGGCATCGGCCGGAGGACATTGCCGGGGACACTGCAGGAGGGACATTGCAGGAGCACAGGAGAAGGTAAGTGAAGAAGAGATCCTGGAGCAGCACTGCAGGGTATTCCCGAGTGTAGCTTGGGGTTACCGCTTGTGGTGCTGAAACTCGGGTATACCACCAGGGAGGTTAATTGACAATTGCGCAGTCATGCAACACTGCACCCAAATGGAATTTACATCCTTTTTTCCCACAAATAGAGCTTTATTTTGGTGATATTTGATGGCCTGTGCGGGTTTTTATTTTTTGAGCTATAAAGAAAAAAAGACCGACAATTTTGAGGAAAAAAAAAACAATATTTTTGACGTTTTGCCATTAAACATGTCCAGTAAAAAAATTTTAAAAATCACATTTCTTCATAAATTTAGGGCAAAATGTATTCTGCTACATGTCTTTGCTGAAAAAAAATTGCAATACATGTAAATTAATTGGTTTATGTGAAAGTTATGGCGGTATATATACTGGAATTTTTTTTTTTACTAGTAATGGCGGCAATCAGCGACTTATAGTGGGATTGCAGTGAGCATTCTGACACTGGGGGGAACTGACTTGGTGTCAGTGACACTAATACAGCGAGTAGTGCTAATAAAAAGCACTGACACTGTACTAATGGCACTGGGCAGGAAGGGGTTAACATGTGGGGTGATCAAAGAGTTAATGGTGTGCTGTGTGCGGTTTCACAGTATGCTCTGTGAGTGCTTTTCACTGTAAGCACACTGCTATGCAAAACCATACAAAACAGTGTGCAGGAGCTGACAGGGGAGAGATCCTGTTTATACACAGGTCTCTCGCCCGTCGGAGATACTCGGTGATCACCAGGTGCCAGCAAGTAATCACCGTTCAGGACCTGTGATTGACAGCTGAGGCTGCGAATGGCTATCAGTTACCTACCTGAAACTGCAAAATCATATATATTTGTGATTTTGCGCACCCGTGCCACATTGTAGCAGTATTTCTGCTATAGGGCAGCGCGGTAGTGGTGGACAGCATCTGTGTACACTCTAAAGGACAATAATTACCGTATATGATTTGGCTGTTTAATTGCACCACTAAAGCATACGTCAGATGGAGATTTGTAGATAATACAAAACTTTGCAGATCTGTGATACCATTTTGAAGCCTTTACTTCTAAAAGTTAAATCAAAGACCCAGTCATCATTTAAGTAATGTAAGTGTCCAATTTGAAGACCTAATACTCTGCTGCTCATCAAGAAGAAACAATCTCCTTCTCTCAGTCTCAAGTAATTCTGTGCACCATGGTGATTCACAGAATGTTTCACTACATTTGTATTTGTTGGATAGATGATTTCTAATCTGATCACACACTGATCACGCCTGATTGTTCTTCCAACATATTGCTTTTGACAGATAACACAGAAGATATGGTATATCACATACAGTATCTAGTCTGGCAATTTACCAGTTGTTTAATCATAAAAATATCTCCTGTGGAATGTGACTTATTACAGTAGGTTAGTCATGTAGGAAAGCAGAGCTGGAAAAACAGGAGGAGCCATACCTATACATGTCAGTAGAACTCAACCAACTCTTTTTGTTTTCCTAGATTGGAATAAATTAGGGAATACAATGTTCTGTAACATCGGGGCTCTTCTAGCTACAAAATGTATTCTCCTAGACAGTATCTCCTCAAAATCAGAAGGGGTTGAGGATCCAATATTCAACCTCGGTTCAGCAGGAGCAAAAAATATATAGAGGCAGAATTTCTATTGCTTCTATGCATGATAGCATCCCACTCTCACTGGTTGCTAGTGAAGAAGCTGCTGCCTGCATCACTAGGAACTACTGAGGTCATTGGGAATCCCCAGCCACTTGACCAAAAGGACAGGGGCAGTGGTGACAGTGACATTGACCAAATATTGTGTAACATTGGAAAACAATTATATTAATGCAGATGGGGCATAAGGACAATATGACTTGGACAATATGGCTTTGAAAGGACTTTTATTTGAGGCAGATGACAATTGTCACAGCCAGCCTGCAGTGAACAGGGCTAGGTGAATGCACGAGGTCTTGATCATCTGGCCAGTAGGACTCCTGAGGCTATTCAATTGCCCCTCACCTGGCCAGCATGGGGCCTGAAGGATGATGGGTTGGATAAGCATCCTGTGTTATCTGCTCAAAGGAAACTCAAAA